TCCTTCAACTTACAGGTGATCATCAACACTTTTGTTAGTACTACGAAATATCATAAACTTTGTTTTATCAATATCTAGGGATAATTTATTACTATTAAACCAGAATAAAAAATGTTGTATCATCTGCAAATAAAACTGACTTAAGCAATTTAGAAATCCTAGTAATGTTGTTAATATACAGAAGAAAGAGTATCGGTCCAAGGACCGAGCTCTGTGGTACCCCAAAACTCATATTCTTGCACAGCAGACTTTCTAACACCAATTTCCACAAATTGTCTTCTGTTTTTTACGTAACTTGTAATCCATTCATGTGCTACTCCTCTGATGCCATACTTGTGTAATTTTACTAATAAAATAGAATGATCTAATGTATCAAAGGCTTTTTGTAATTCTACAAACACACTCACTAGGTGTTGCTTTTTGTCTATTACAGTTGAAATTTCCTCTACCAGTTCTATTTTTGCTGTTGCAGTTGAATGATTAGAGCAAAATCAGTGTTGACGATTACTTAATATACTGTATCTGTTTAGAAATTTGTCCAATCTAGAGGCAAATAATTTCTCCAGAATCTTTGCGAATTGTGGAAGCAGTCTGTTCCTACCTTTTATGAATTGGCATAATTTTTGCGACTTTCGTGTTATCGGGAGAAATCCCTTTTGAAAATGATAAGTTACAAATGTATGGATAATGGATCAATAATTAGGTCTATAATATTCTTAATAAATACCATATTCATGTCAGCATAGTCGTTACTGGTCTTATTTTGACACTGTTGTACAACTTGCAGTATTTCACTCTTTTCCAGTACTTGTATCCACATTTTGTGACATTTTGAACTACGCTATAATATTCTTAATAAATACCATATTCATGTCAGCATAGTCGTTACTGGTCTTATTTTGACACTGTTGTACAACTTGCAGTATTTCACTCTTCTGCATTCCATCAAGAAAAATACTGTTGACATAGTCAGTTATTTCTGGGCCAGTAGTCCTTAACTTTCTGTATTTGTTGAGCCAAATTAGGTCCGATTTACAAAAATGTTGTTGAAATCATGTACTATAGTAACTTTATCATAAATATCTTTGTTGTCCTTTGTGAAATTATTTGGAATTTGTTATTCTTCTTTACAACTTTATTGATTATTCCCCATGTATTGTCCTTTTTTTCTAACAAATTACTATAATTTTTTTCTGTTTTCTTATCCATGTCAACTTATTATAGTATTTTTTAATATCTCTCTTCTGAGTCTTAAGTGCTTAATTTCAAAAACATTCTGTATAAATCATTTTTTTCTTGCAAGCATTTGTTATCCCATTTGTCATCCAAGGTTTGTTTACAGCATTTTTTCCTGATATTTCCTAATTTAATTAGATTAGTTCTTATATAATCCAGCCAATATTTTCATAAATGAATCATACATAATCCTTATACACTTCGTCCCATTTTTCTTTCTTAAAGTCTTCTCTTAAGGCACTCATAGCCTCAACCGATCTATTTCTTATAAATGTCTCTGTAGGACCTGGTACACCACAACAATGGTCACTGTGTTCGTTTCCATTTTTACAAATAATAAACACAGGCAAATGATCACTTATATCTATTAACAATATCCCACTCAACACCTCCTCATTTCTCATATTTGTAAAAATATTGTCGATCACTGTTGTGTGTTGTAACACTGGTCTGTTTAACTAACTATTAAAGGATAAAGGCCCACAAACCACCAGTTGACAATCACAGTAGTAGCTTGTTTTGCAGCTCCGGACACATTTTATTAAGGAGACAAGGAGCACAAATGGCTCTTTTGATTGTAAAGGTTGCAGACCCCTGTTCTAGTTAGTGTTTTTGTTCAGGTTTGTCAGTTGATCAAGTTTAAGTTTGTGTTATTGGCCATAAATTGATACCATGARTGAGAGGTGGAATGGAATGTCCCCAATTGGATAGCTGTGCAAACTTGTGTGTGTGTGTTGATAACTATAAGGTGGAAAAATATCCTTCATAGCACCCACAGCAAAATGCTTAGCCCGCCCCCCACCCCCTTTAACACCTGCAGAAAAAAATTTCTGGAGCCACCACTGCATGTCATTAATGAAAAGGATGAATAACTATGGACCAAACACAGACCCCTGTGGAACACCTTCTTTAAATTGCCACTCAACCAGTCTCCACACTTCGCTAAATACAAATGACAAAAAAAGAAAGACAGAAAACCTGACATCTTTATAGAAAAATGAAAAAATAATCTCATTTATTGAGGTAATTTTTTCTAAAAAAATTTTTTTTCTGAGGTAACATTTTGCATAGTATAACTTCCATAAAATTTACACACAAACACACACAGACACACAAACCATGGAGAAGAAACCAAGTTGCTGAGAAAATCTCTGAAGACGAATAAAATCAAAACAGAGTGCTGATTCTCTTCTGATGAACAAAAACAAAAAAACATAAACTGTAAAATCCAAAAACTGCTGGTGGTGTTGAACAATCGGAACAAGAGTTTGTATAAAACTTTAACAGTTGATGGTCGTGTTTGTAAAGCCTTTTGAGGATTGTATAAAAACACATTCATAATCAAAATGCTAAGTCTGCATGGACTGCAGCAAAGCAGATTCYACTTCGATGAACTATAAAAATAGATCTGCTATGTCAATAAAAGGGCACTTTACTAGTGTAATCTATTTGGGGAYGTTTCACGCTGAAAACTGTTACGATCTCGAAAGGAAAGATGGCAACAAGCTAAAACTTATCCCTTTTGGAAACTTTCCCGCCATCAGTAAAACAGGACAGGAAACAACCACCGAGCAAATACGGAACCCTTTGGAAATGCTTAGAGGTTGTTGTTTTTCTCTCTCGCCCAACCCTCCAAGGCTTTGGCAGGAGGTCTGTATTAGACCTAGGACTAYGTTAGCGCTAAAACAAAACATCCTGTCCTGCTTGTATGAAAATGTTTAAAAACCAYYTAAMAGTCATTTACATGAACGCTAACAAATGTAGAAATTAGTGCATTCCTGGCAGGAAAAAGGACCAAAGTGTCACCACGTTATAATCTATCACAGCTTTTAGCTGTTTCAGAGCACRCGGACATTTCTGATTGAATGACGTGTTAAAAACCTACATCCAGTCCTGTGTCAGCTATCTAAAGTGACTGAGAAACATTTCTGCTGATTTAAACAGACGAACAGCATTTACAATCAACTAACCAGCAGATGTAGGTGGGCAGACAGCTGAACCACCGGCTGCTACTGAAACACATCTTGGCTGATACTCTGTTTTATAAAATACATATGTACATAAATCACATCAGCTTTTTTTCTTTTTAAAATACCTACATATATAAACATCATATACAAGAAGTTCACCAAGCAAAACCAGATTTTACAAACAAGTTCATTCACTTGTTTCTTTTTTGTTTTTAATTCAGAAAAATAGACTAGCAAGTCCCATCATCCCAGGTTCAAAAATAAAGAGTGATAGGTTGGGCTGTGCTGATTTCGTCTCGTTGAGTGGTCAGGATGCAGCAAAGGTGAAAGAGTGGGGGGTTGACCGTGGTTCTATAGTGGCCGGTCTTTGTCCTGAGTTACTCGCCGTGTGTAGAAGAGGATGTAGGCCTGAGCTCGGCAGACCTCGTCCACTGAACACACGTTCAGCTTTGAGTCATTACAGTGAACCCAGAAGCCTGGAGGAGAAGAAATAATTAGAATAAACACAAATTTCAAAAGGTTATTTAGCATAACAGAGAAGACCGGATTTGTCTCAGAGGCCACCTTTCCATTGGACAAAATTACTTTGATCCAATATGGCGGCCATGTTTTGAACATAGCCTTAAGAACAGGTCTCCTCACTCATTACATGCCAGGGTGTTCAGATATTTAATTTGACCTTTTCTTTCCAAAATAAAAGGGTGTCCTGAGACTTTTGACTCACTTATACTGAAGTAGTTTGTGTGGTATTAACACATTTAGCCTTACAACAATTCATTTGTAATACCTCCTTCTGTGTTGTAGCAGTAAGCAGTGTAGTGGCCAGAGCCAAAGCCCTTTCCATGATGCATCACCACAGCGGAGAGCTCATACAGGAAGTGCTTTGGACGTGGTGAGCCTGCGGAGCTGGGGCTGCTGGGAGCGGTGGAGCAGGGCACGCTTTTGGGTGRAGCCTCTCTGCAGCAGTAGGGCTCCATGTTGAGGAGCTGGTCAAAGCTGACGTGGACGCCGATCTTCTCCCGATGGTTGCGCCCAGACCACCTGAGGGTGAACAAAAAGCAGAGGACGGACAGTCAGCAGGGCCGCGTCAGGAAGAGAGCAGCCCCCAACGCCGACTCCGCCGTCTGACCTGAAGCGTTTAAGGTGGAGCCTGAGGACCTGAGGCAGTTTGTAGACCATGAGCTGCTTCTGAGCTTCAGTCAGGATGACGGGTTTGGAGGAGGTCCTGCGCCTGGCAGCTGCAAACACAAGGCGAGAATAAAGTCTTTACTTTAAATTKTGTGATAAAATATGCTACAACACTGAGATGATAAAATTATACAAAAACTCTTATTCCCAAAAAATTCTAACAGAGGTAATAATTTTTGAAATACCGCCTTGACAAAACGCCATCTTTCCTAAATTAAAATGAGTTCCTGAGTCTATTTGTCTGATAATCTATCTTTATCATGAATTTCTGTAAAAACAAGTAAGAATAAGCCTACATATAACCCATACGAGAAAGCAAATTACTTAGTGTTTAGTGTAAATACAAGCTGTAAAAGTGTTAAAAATCGATGCAGTCTTTTGACTCACAGTTACACTGGTCACAGGCGTAGATGTTTCCCTCCAGGGCTTCAGTTTCTGTAAACTTGGCCAACATTTCYGTCAAATGGCACGAAGCCTGAGCTGCCGTCTCCCTGCTATTACTGTGATACCGCTCGGGGAACTCCAGAGACAGGTCCCAGAAAGRCTCCACAGTGTCGGAGCGATGGCTGCAGGCCAAGCATGTCACCTGCAACACAAGGTCAGTATGAAAGTACAAACTTACCGGTAATAGTGATAACAAAAATGCAGTTTAAGCCAGAACTGAAAGTAGCCAAAATTACTACAAACATTCAACAAATGCAGATGCATAGCATGAAATCTGACTCTACAAGCAGGACTTTATCATCCCACTATCCTCATCATTCAGTTACTTGAATCAGATAATTTTCAAATCGAATTGTGAGCTGGATCACAATTTTAGCTTCAAATAACTAAACAAACAAGCCAAAATATAACTAAAAGGGCAAATAAAATAAAGTGTTCTGCTGCTGCATTAGAGCCACTTCAACGCTTTCAAAAATGTCCTAATCCCACACACTTGGTTAAAAAAAATAAAAACTCTGCAGAATATATTTGCTGTACACCATGATAAACATTGTGTCACGATTATCTACACCAACCACAATTACAGCTGATACAGGTGGTCTCCATGTGGCTATCTACTGTGTGGCTGTGAATCACAAGTTTTCGTCTATTTCCTGTGTCAAAAATCAAGAACAGATTTAAGATTTTAAGTCAATGAGTAAATTAAAACAATACATAATTAGTTGAGTAAAAGGGAAGAAAGCTAATGAGACCCATATTTTGCCAAAGGTACTGAACTTTTTATTTTGATGCAAAGATGAAATGCAGCAAAGTAAGGAAGAGAAATATTATTTATGGGACTCCTGATAGTAAAATCATGGAATAATTTAGATAAATTCTTAATATACTGATTAAAATAATAGGAGTATTMATAGGAGTGTCTGAAAAGTTGTTACTATAAATTCATTTTAGAAAATGATGTGTTGTTTAAAAATATGACAAATAAAAAATGATCACTGCTAAATGTGCAGGTCAAATGATGGCTGCTGTGATTGTTGGAAACAGGTAACTGAATGTGTGTGTGTATGTGTATGTGTGTGTGTGGACGGGTTTTCCTGACAATGTGGGGACAATTTTCCCAAAAAAAGCAGCCTCGTGGAGACTGAAGTGAATCATGGGGACCAATGTCCAAATGCATGTTACAGGTGGGGGGTTAGGTTTAGGACCAAGGTTTAGGTTAGTTTTAGGGTCAGGTTTCTGTGAGAAGGGTTGAGCATAATCGTATYGTGTGCAATTAATCRTCAGAAAAACATTAATTTATTACTTTTTGGCACTTGATGATTAATACGATAAATGCCACCATCAGTCCGCTCGGTGCTCCTCTCCGCTTCAAATATGACAAATGTTACTAAGAAAAAGTTCTGTAATTTATTTATCTATCAACACAATTTAAAATTTGATGTGTAGCCTGAAKTGTGTAATTTTGACACAATTTGGAACAGATTTTTACGAAGAGCAAATCTTTCCCAATAAATTGGTCATTTGACTAGGACATGCAGTGGTCCAGGGACTCCAGGGGATTAATCGTCAAATTAATCGTTATCGGCTAAATACCACAATTAATTGTGCTTAATTTTTTTGCAAATATTGCCCAACCCTACCTGTGAGGTTAATTTTAGGGTAAATGGTCAAGGTTAGGCTATAAAGTCTAAAAAAAAATGAATGGAAGTCAATGGAAG